GTGTTTTCAAGCGAACTATTATACAACTGTTTTCTTTGAGCCCAAAGTGGAAGTCCATTTACTCTTTGGTTATTTTAGAACCTAGATTAAACCTAAAGTCTAGGTTTTTTCATACATATGGCATGAGTCTGTTACATAGGTATGTAACAACATAAAATATTTTATCGAAAAACCAAACTCTTGGAAAAATCAGCTCTTGAAGTTCCTGACACACCATGTGTGTCAGGCGGTCCGGAAAGGGTTAAATGTGCTATAACTGCTTCACAGGTAGAAAGGATCGTCGGCGATAAAGGTCTCACAATACTCGTGAATAACGCTGGCATGTGGGTGAAGTATTTCACAAATCAAGAGCCCAATCGAGCGGATCTCATCAAGAATTTCGACACAAATGCAGCCAGCGTGGCTGTCCTGACACAGGTTGGTTGGCCTCATTTTCAGTGTTTGGTGTAAGCAGATGTTAGTTGTGCATCATTTAGTATACTGAGCTATGTTTCGAGCTCAGCTACAATACCGCCCCAATTTTTGTAAAATCGACGAACTTGAACGCATCAGTCCGCCGCAATCCGTCGCTCTGCCATAGCTCGCGTTAAAGAGCTCTAAACGAGTTGAGTAAAGAACCAATAGGTAGCCCTGTCCATGAGCACTCTGAAAATGTAGCATACTTCCACTTTTAGTGAACAAGTTAGCTCTATTTGTAGGCACTCGAAATCTCCATCCCCACCCGTACTCGTTTGAAACCCTCTAACTGATTAGTGCGTGATCTCAGTGTTCCTTGGACGTGGTAGAATCCGCAGACAACACGTCTTCGCTATGGTTACCGAATCGCAATAAGAAATGAGCTCAGCTGCCGCAGTAGCTCTGTGAAGGTTTTATTAAAAATCGTAGCGCTTCCATTTTTCTTTTCTTCACACAAAATTTGAGCAAAAAATAAAACATAAAACTAATCAGTGATGTTCACTTCGTCATTATTTACAACTTTGATTGCATTTCGCAGGAGATCACCGGATGTAGAATTCAAAAAAAATATTGAGCTCGTTTTCGGAGTCCTTATTATTCTCAATTTGTATGCAGTGAATATAGTTTGATTTGAGCGAAAAGTAGGTCTGTTAGAGCAAGGTTCGACCAGAACAATGGATTCAAAAGAACTTCCAATTTGGCGTTTTTTTCTTTACGTAACCGAAGAATAGCAGCTGTCGAAACGCCGATTTTCGCCGTCTGGATTTTCCAACTTCTAAGCTCTATACCTGAGTACAGCTACAATGTTGAAGAAAATGACAACACGGTTTTGTAGAGCGGGAAGAGTACTTTCGAATCAATTTGAGCGGTTTTTTTAATGGGATTTGTACTGGTTGAATTTATACGCTTGAAAAAACGCTACGATATTATGCTCCAACCCGGTATATAAGTTGTTCAGAAAGTTCGGATCAGGGAGAAAAATCGCTACAATCTGCACAACTTTCCCATAAAATACGGTCCAAATTAGCCGTCTATTTACAGCTCCTGAAATATGTAAGCGATGAGCTCGGCGAATGCTTTTTTCAGATATCGCAAGAATACTGAGTTGTGGGCAAAACTTTGCTTTAGCCGGTATTCGCACCCTGATCTCTTGCTTCCATGGCAATTGCGCTACCAGTAGCGCTTTTTTCAGCATTAATATGTTGGGTTTCGAGGTATTTCTCTTACAGGAGGTCATCCAAGTGATTGGCAAAGTGACGCTTAGTAGGCCAGGGGTTTAGGGAGAAAGATCGTTGCAGCATTTTTCAGAGTTCAACTATAGAGTAGTTAAACATGCGCAAGGTTAAATGCACCTTGTGATTCTGAGTGAATTCACAATAAAAGGGAGGCATCTCAGCGGTGACACCTGCTGGCAAAAGCTTGGAAAATGCTCGATCAATTTTTGCTTTATGTTTATAACAATTTTCGCTTCAACATTTCACCTGGATGTAGAGAGCGGGGCCTGTCACAAGTCACGTTACTGTCAACACTACATTCTTTGTGCATTTTTAATTAAAAGAAAAATGTTGTAGACCTCGCTAGGGCTGTACCACTCAACAAGAGCTTCGACATGTTTTTGTTCTGCTGTTTCTGACCACAGTTTCCCTTGCGAAAGTTTCACAAAAACACAGGGATATGAGAAAAACTCGTTACCTTTGTTTCTAACCTGCGGCGAAAGTTTTGTTCATTACTCAGCATTCTTTTGAGAGCTTCGCGCGATACCGTAGGAAAAAGATCGTTTCCTTTAAATAGAAGAAGGTTCCAGAAGTTCAATAAGGCATGCTGTCATGGCGGCGCCTTATGACTTTTTTGTATTTTCCTTCTCCCGTATTTTTGAAACCACAGAGCCAGGCTTAACACCATCCTATCATCATTCGAGGTCCTAGTTATCGCCACGAAAACTTATAAATTATCACTTTACAAAACCTTTATTCTAACCTGCCTGAATTAAACGCGTACGTGATGGCGTTTCTTCTCATCTTTCCGGATCAATTTTACTTGAAACAAGAAAACCCTCCAAACCGGCTTTCTGAGTAAGTTGATTCTGAGAAAGTGGGCAAAGGTCTTCTGGTCATATGAATGACAACACTTTTAGATAGAGTGAGAACAGCGCTTTGAAGCGTTACATAATAGAATTACAGCACTTAGCTTGGCACTGATCGCAATGAGGCACCTCAAATTAAGAAGTCCGGATCCGCAAAAATGTTCTGAACTACCTAACAATCAATCTATAGGCGGACCAACCCTTCACGCGTCCTCTTCAGTTGTGCTCAGAATAGAACAAAAATCTCCTCCGCCCATGGACCGTAAACGTGATAAATTGGTTTGAGCTTATCAACAAAGAGGAGAGTCTTGTGCAGTCTACACACTGAATGAAAACACTGCTTGCATAGAATATTGATATCGTGATTATTTCATATTTATCTATCACGTGTTTAGTCAATATTTTGTGATTTAGACCTTTCTGCCTCTCGTGCGGAAGGCGGCCGCTCAGGTGTCCTCGGATGAGTTCTCCGCGAACCGTGCTGCAATCCTTAACATCTCATCAGGAGTTGGTTCCATTAGCACAAACACGTCAGGGTCAGGAAAGTTTGGCGCATTGGCCTACCGTATGAGTAAGGTTGGTATTTGAATTTTTGTTAGTGGTTGCTGCTGTAAAAATTTCTTTCGTAACAAATTCAATTGCAGTCTGCCCTCAATTCCCTCATGAAGACTATGTCTATTGATCTCGAACCTGAGCACATTCTCATTGTCAGCTTCTGTCCTGGATGGGTGCAGACAGATATGGGAGGACAAGGCGCATCGATTACGGTACTTGTACTCCTACTTTGCTCCTTCATTATCATCGCTCCGTTTCAGCTTCTTTATTTATTACTATTTGGAAAAATTCAAAACTTGTGCCATTACCTCTCTATTTCAGGTCGAAGAGTCAGCAGCTGCTCTAGTTTCCTCATTTGCCAAATTGAACAAGGAACATCATGGCGGCTACTTCAGAAGATCTCTCGAACCTATTCCATACTAGGACATCACTTCTAATCTGTTGAATCATCAAATAAAATACGAGCTTCTGCTTTTTTATTTTTCCTGCAACATACATAGCTACACATTTCTGTGTTCCTTCGGAGACTCTGACACCTACTTAAGGCTTAGTATGAGAAGCTAAACAAACACTCCATCTACAGAGAGCGGTAGTTCAGAGGCAGACAAATCTTTTTGAAAAAGGGATGCGATTCGCGGTTTTCGGACAGAGCCAATCGTCCTTTGTGCAAAGATCAACAAGGGGTCGTATTTGACTAATAGAGGGGAAGGGTCGTAAGTCCAATGATCAGACAAGGAATTTGACGGTCCCAAGGCATAGCAAAGTGGCAGAGAGGACTGCCAGAGATGAGTCGGTTGCTTCATAATTAGAGTACTGGGCAAATGTGCCAGAGCTCTGAGAGTATTTTGACATCTTGCCAAGAGCCTGTCCCCAAATTAACAGATTCCAACCGGTTTCGAATGAGCTAGACCAGCCGCTGACCTTATGAAAGTCACCTCAACCTTCCTTCAGTGAAGTTTCACTTTTGCAAAGTTTGTAGAGCCTGATCGCGGTCGATCACTTCACCAAAGGTTCGTATTGCTGTAGCAAAGAATCCGTTTTTTTCGTGCGTCGCAAATGATCAAAAAATCAGGTCGTTTTCATGGCATGAAACAAGCTAGAACGCGGCGAACGACCCTTCAAAATGGTGAGCTGTCGCGGCACGCCCTATTTGAATTTTTGGGACTTTCCAGCTCTTCCCAATAGCAGTGCGGTCAGTTTAGGAGGAACCTCAATAGTTCTGTGCAAACGTGCTTCAACCAGAACGTTCGACTAATCGTTGGCGTTGTCCAATCTCCGATCACCACCCTCACAATCTTTAGGGCTCTCGCTATTCTTACAAAAGCTTTTTGAACAATTGCTTCAGACCATATTTATTGCGAATCTCAGCCAAGTGCGTCTATAATATCTTGACCTGCTCTCCTACTGGCCTGCTTTGAGCTAGAAAAAGGAAATCATGCAAATTTGCTCTTGGAGTATGCCGTATTCAAGGCTTCAAAAATGACAACCAAATGACGCAGAACAAAATTGAACCCACTGTTAGATAGAACAAGAAAAGCTCTTCAAAACGGCATATAGCGTGTGACAGCTTGCTTGAAGTCAGAACAAAATAAAGCGTTCAAAAAGTAACAACGAAAAGCGCAAGAACTTTCTTCACGATCTAATACCGCTCCAACTTACCAAATACGAGTACATGGCGCGTCTCAGGATGAGAGTTCTGCCTAAAACACAAATCCAGCGAGTATGAGCAAACAAATTCTGTCATATGAATTTCGTTGCTTTCAGACCAAACCAAGGTGGATTAAATTGCAGCGAATTCAGCCGATTTTCTGTAGAGTCCCAACAGAAAATTCTTTCAGAACAAAGAGTTTTATTTGAATTCAGAGGAGTCAACGTATGCTATGAAGCACAAAACGCGAAAATTTCAACAGTTTTTATCGATTCCCATTATACCAAAGTTAGAGAAGCTTGTGGGCGTCCGAAGGCTGAAAATTCGGGCGATTAGCCTGGAAATGCCACAGAAGGGCAAAACGGACCAACGGAACGATATTATAAGGAATTGAGCATTCGCAATAGTAGTAGAGACTCTTCTCAAAGAGAAAACATTTCATGTGATTGCTACCACTGGTAAGTGTCAAGTTTGAATCCCTTCAACCTCATAGGTCTACAGGTTTTTTTACGGACGAGAGTTATATAAGTGCAGCGTCACTATATATGCTTTATAAGTCTGTCTTGGGGGGATGGCTAAGACTGTACCTATATCCGCACTTCTGAGAGCAGCGAGTTCGATCCCTGCCGAGGTTAACCATGCCCTGCAAAAATTGCAAAAATGGTTCTAGTACCAGCGTCAGGCCCAGGTTGACAGGCCGGCTGATGAATACCCCAGTCACACCAATCATGTCTAAAAGTTGCAAAGAATCAGTGATAAAGCTAGGACGTCACCCGGAAGTGGCGCGCAGAACCCCCGCCCGAGTTCTGTGGTCAGTATGCGAGGGCTACCGAGGAGTGAACGGCCTCGGCCAAAGAAGCTAGTTCGAATAGGGACTCTGAACGTGGGCTCGCCACTTGGAAGTCCCGAGAGGTTGCTGATCTGATGATGACGCGCAGGAACATCCAAGTCCTATGCCTTCAGGAGACGCGATGGAAAGGTGCTAAGGCCAGGGAAATCGGGGAAGGTGTCAAACTACAATGGAGAAGACACCAAGCGGAACGGCGTGGCCATAGCGGTAGCGGAGTCGCTCAAGGACTATGTCTCCGCTGTGAACAGGATCAGCGATCGGATCATGGCTGTGAGGATAGACACGAAGGAGGGGTACTGGACAATACTCTCCGTGTACGCACCGCAAGCCGGATGCCCCAAAGTGAGAAGGACGAGTTCTGCCTGAGCCTTACGATGCTATCGGATTGAGGAACGCTAAGGGAGAAAAGGTTCTGGACCTGGCTACAGCCCACGATCTGGCAGTCTGCAGCACGTTCTTCGCGAAAAGGGAGACTCAAAAGGTAACCTACAGCAGTGGAGGGAGACAGACGGAAATCGACCATGTGCTGGTAAGAAGATCATCCCTCAAAACTGTGAAGGATATCAAAGGTTCTACCCGGCGAAGAACTGGCTCCCCAAAGGCCGTACCTGGAGACCATCGCCATGAGGACAGAGTAAGAACCGAGCGAAAGAATGTGATGGTGGAAACTGCGCTGGAGCAGGACGACCTCAAACGAAGGATTATAAGAACTGGTTTCACAGATCTGTGAGACCACTGGAGTAGCGCCCCAAAGCCATCCTACGATGCGCCGGGCAGGTAAGGGGCGAGAGAGGCGGGTTCAGAGGAGACAAGGGCAGCGTGGTTCTGGAAACGAGGAGGTCCAGCGAGTCGTGAAGCAGAAGAAGGAAGCATACAAGCGCTGGCAGAAGACCCGGAGCCCCGAAGACCTCGCCCCTGTGAAAGTTGCAAGAGGAATCGCCAAGGCTGTGGTAGCAAAGGTGAAGAACACGAAAATGGACGCCTTGTAAGGAAAAGGTAGCGGTAATGTCGTCCTGAGATGGCCAGTCGAACTTAAGAGTAAAGGAAGGGAAGAGAAATCCAGGAGGATCATCAACGAGGGATCCCCTCGCAAGAACAACCTGCAAGTAGAGTCGATGCTTGGCCATCGCACTCTCGACTGTGGGCGAATATAGACAGGGAATACAGAAGATGAAAGTGGGAAGGAGGTAGGTCCAGATGGTGTGCCAATCGAGGCATGGAAGGCGCTTGGAGAGTACGGCATAAGGTGGCTCACCAGCTTCCTGAACAAGGTAACAGTGGAAGGAAAGATGCCGGATGCATGGAGGAACAAGTACCATCGTCCCCATCTTCAAGCAGAAGGGTGACGCGATGGACTGCTCCAACTACCGCGGGATCAAGTTGACTGCGCATACCATGAAGCTGTACGAGCGACTGGTCGACTCGAAACTGCGGGAGCTGGTCCCGATCTCCCAGGAACAGTTCGGGTTCATGCCCGAAAGGTCTACAACGGATGCCATCTTCATCGCAAGGCAAGTGATGGAGAAGTATCGAGAAAAGCGCCGACCCTGCTACCTAGCCTTCCTCGACCTTGGAGAAGGCGTTCGACCGGCTACCAGCGAGCAGTTCTATGGAGAGCGAACGTGCCTGAACACCTTGATCCCTCTAGTGAAGGACATGTACGAAGGAGTTAAGAGCAGTCATACGCACCCCACATGGCCTAACAAAGGAGGTAAACATCACGGTTGGGGTGCATCAAGGGTCAGCTCTGAGCCCGTTCCTCTTCCTCCTAACACTAGATGTCATGGTGAAGGGGCTCATGGAAGGACCACTAAAGACCATCCTCTACGCTGACGACATCGCCCTGATAGCAGATAGCAGAGTAGAACTAGACAAGGTGCAGAAATGGCAGGGCACGCTGGCAGAGGGAGGGCTGCGCTTACTTAGTCGTGAAGAAGACCAGGATGTTGAGCTCTGAAGACGGCACAGAGTTGACCGCGGACGGCCATGGAGAAACCATCAAAAAAATGGGGGACTTTTGAAACTGAGGGGTGCAGAAGTGTTTGCCAGGCAATAAAGGCACGGATCAAGGCGGCACGGATGAAATAGAAGGAGCCCACTGGAATCCTGTGCGGTCGATGCTCCAGAACGCTCAAAGGAAAGGTGTACCGGGAAGTGGTGGCAGCGAGTGCTGGCTCTTGAACAAGGATTTTGGAAGGCAGCTCACTCTGCTGAGATGACTGAGACCGGACGCGACTGGACAGGGTAAGAAACGAGGATGTCAGAGCGGTCATGCAGACTGCCCCTGTCCAGCTGAAGGTACGGGAACAGCGTCTGCGATGGTATGGGCATGTGCTAAGGAGGCCACAGGATCATCCGATAAGAACAGCGATGGACTTCGAAGTGCAAGGCAAGCGACCGCGAGGAGCCCCAAAGAAGAGGTGGAGGGACGTCATCAAGAAGGACCTAAGTGAGTCAGGGAAACGGCAGAAGATGGCGCGGAAAGGGATAGGTGGCGTAGGCTAGCATAGCGGACCAAATAGCAATAAAAACTACGCGGAATCAACGCTAGGAGGAAGAAAAATGAGGATAAAAGGATAAAGCATTTGCCGTTGATCAATCCCTTTTTGGGATGCGGCACGCATTCTACTTCCATTTGTACATTCGTAGTGGCGTTTGAATGCGATGTGGCCTATACAATGACTTGCGGGGGCCAGCCGATGTACAAGTCAGTGTTTTTATCCTCCCAGACAAGTCTGGTACCAATTAACCGACCCCGGAGGGATGGAAGGCTTGGTTGGCCCGGGCGACTCACGACCCAGGATTTGATCCCCGGACCGCTCGCGTGGTAAGCGTGCCACTTGCCACTACACCACTTCCGCCCCTCAAATATAACTGCGGCAAATGCTCGTCAAAATACTATAACAGATCAGACTCAGTTACAAA